GGAGACGAAGTAAAGAAGATCGGTATCGTTAAAAGTCCTGTGCTTGAAGTTTAACAGACGACGCAGGTCTTCATCACCGTGATGCAGCATAAAGTTGTAAGGATCGTTATCCATCCGGTCAAAGAGATCAGTACATTTATTGATAATAGTTTTACGCTGTCCCCAGGCTAAAACTGCTGCAAAGAATGCGGCAATTTCAATGTCTTGTTTTTTAGAAAAGCGATGTGGAATGCAGATTGGGTCATTTGTGATGAAGTCGGGCCTGTTATATTGCGCAACTTTAATGTCCAGAAAGTCCTTTAGTTCTAAAAATTCCAATGGTTTTTATTTATAAAAGCCAGTTTAAAAGATTTAAACTGGCTTTATATGTTTGTAATAATTTATGAATTGGTGATAGAGGCCTATCTCATTAACTCAGTGCCTGCGCTAAATCTGCTAACAGATCATCAATATCTTCTACTCCAACACTCAAACGTAACAGGTTATCTGTTACCCCTACTTTTTCACGCTCCTCTTTTGGGATTGAACCGTGAGTCATTGTAGTAGGGTGATTAATCAATGATTCAACTCCACCTAATGATTCTGCTAAAGTGAATACTTTAAAAGAAGAAGCTACTCTGAATGTTTCTGCCAGATCGGCACCTTTAAGGGTAATAGAAACCATTCCTCCGAAACCACGCATCTGCTTTTTCGCAATGTCATGATTAGGGTGATCCTCAAAGCCTGGCCAGTAGATTTTATCAATTTTTGGGTGAGTTTTAAGGAAACGGGCAACTTTCTCACCATTTTCGCAATGTGCTTTCATACGCAGGTGCAGCGTTTTAATACCTCTTAATACAAGAAAAGCATCTTGCGGACCTGGAGTTGCACCACAAGCATTGTAGATGAACCAAAGGTCTTTGTACAACTGATCGTCATTCAACAATAAAGCACCCATCACTACATCAGAGTGACCACCAATGTATTTAGTCACGGAGTGCATCACAATATCAGCTCCAAGGTCAATCGGATTTTGTAAATATGGAGAAGCAAAAGTGTTATCTACAGTCAGGATCAACCCTTTTTCTTTCGTGATTTTAGCTACACCTTCAATGTCGATAATCTGCATTGTTGGATTAGTAGGTGTTTCAATCCATACCAACTTAGTTTTATCATTGATATATGGCAGCATATTTTCTGGTTTTGACAAATCCAGAAAATGAAATTTAATGCCATATTTTGCATATACTTTAGTAAAGATTCGGTATGAACCTCCGTAAAGGTCATTACCTGTAATCACTTCATCACCTGGTTGTAAAAGACGCAAAACAGTATCTGTCGCTCCCATTCCTGAAGAGAATGCCATACCATATTTCGCATTTTCAAGTGCAGCAAGACAATTTTCCAATGCCTGACGGGTTGGGTTTGTTCCTCTCGAATATTCAAAACCCTGGTGCTCACCCGGCGATTTTTGCCAGTAAGTAGAGGTTTGATAGATTGGAGTCATTACCGCTCCTGTTGTTGGATCAGGTTCCTGACCTGCATGTATGGCTTTAGTTGCAAATTTCATGTTGCTCTTTTTTAAATTTTTGATGCCTTATGCTTAATAAGCACGGGCGAATAAAACGCGTTGAACAGATGGTTTACCAGAGTAAATACAAATTCCGTCTTCTAACTTATTATCTAACGGTATACATCTGATTGTAGCCTTTGTTTCTTCTTTTATTTTTTGTTCTGTTTCTGGCGTACCATCCCAATGTGCAGAAAT